AACCCTAATATTAATACAGCACCACCACTCCAATTCCCAAACCTTTTTTTCTGCCCCATGTAGGTGCACATTTATTTCTTTATATGACTATTTCAATTCCAACCCACAACACATGTAAACACATACGTACACACCACCTCCTCAACAATGGCTTTCTAAGTTTGTTTCAGAGAGGCTGAGAACATTAGAGCATGCAACAAAACATCCCATTGATAAATTATGAAAGCTGGGTTGAAGTAAGGCTTCACCCTACGCCACGAGGCCAAAGAGACCTTCAGATATCCTGCTGATGTTTCAGGCCCGGCAGGAGGTCCTCCAGCGGACCTGAGGCTCTGCTTCCACGCCCTATCAGAGTGGCCACGGCGTCTACGTCCCCACACCTCATCCCAGCCTCTGCAGGAGGGAAATTGCGGGAGGAAATTGGTGTTGTTCCACTAGTATCCAACACTGCTTTGGTCCTCGACTATCTAAATGGACCATTACCCCCTCTGTGTGCTCTCACTATAGGAGATCTGGGTTTGTCAGTGCTTTCTCCCTTACAATCAGGGGTATCTCAGTCTATGTCCCTGGAGAGATGTCTTCTGAACTGAAGCCATTTCTTTCTCCCTCAATATGGAGTTTTTGCATTATGCGTTTGTCATGTTATTCACTTGGACAAGGGATTAAGTGAAGCAGCTGCTGTCTCACTGTTCAGTCAGTCATTTGAACCTTCTCCAATGTATGCATGCAGTTTTTTTTCCTTCTCTGTTTTTTGATGTAAGTAATTCAGTCAGTGATGCAAAGCAATGTAAAAAAAATTTGAGGAATTAAGACTGAATGTTCATATATCAAACTGGTAGAAACTGGAAGACAGTTAGAAACTACTGTCACCACCTTAAGTCGTTAGATACTTTACCACATTCCAGTGGCGACACACCTTTCTTTCAGTCAAGGTTACACCACAAAATGCATTCTCAAAGCACAAATACTTTTAATATCAATACACATATATATATATACATACATACATACATATTCTCTTTTTTTGCTTTTATTCATTTTATTTGTTGCTTTATTTATTTTGAGAAGGAAATGACAGTGACACTTACATGCCAGCAGCTCTGGCAGCTCTTGTTTTGCCCGTTTTTTTCTTGCAGCAAGTGCAGGGCTGCGATCAGTATTCAGACAGACAGTCGTTGACACCATGCCAGCGTTTGCATAGCCGGGCAAGTTCCTCCTCTGTTCCTCTCTCTATCTCTGAGGCAGAATTCATGGCAGACTGTCCTCCGAGTGTGACAAGTGGAACTGTGTGATTAATTTGGCCAGTCGTTTTAATGTGCTCCGGGATGCGCAACGCTTATTGTCTTCCCCTTGCACGTCTATCGGAATCTGCCAGAGAAAATGTCCAGGAGAATCGAGACATCCATCCCTGCCTCTCACTGTTTTTTCCCTCTTGCTCTTCTCTCCTCAGCTCTGCCTCATTTCAGGGCTGAGCTACAGGGTCGTCATGGGGGCCAGCCCAGGTCGAGGCCTGGCTCCAGCGAGGGCCGCTGGCGGAATAAATCTCCTGTCTCTGAAGTGTTGAAAGCTGTGTAAATGTCAAACTTATCCGTCTGATGTGCTGGCTGCAGGGAGGAGGGGCTGGAGAGAAGGTGGGGAGCTGGGAGGGAGGGTTGTGGAGCCATTCGCTGAAGCTGGTCCCCTGTTACCCTTCGTAGCTGGCGGTTGCCAGGTGCAGATGTTGCTGCTTGCTCCCTGCCTCTGAAGAGCCAGGCAGTTTTCTTTTTTTTTTCTTTTTTTCTTTTTTTTTTTTTTTTTTTTTTTTTTGGTTTGTGAACATCTATGAGAGACACAAACCACAAGGGGCTTGGCTGCTGTCAGGCAGCTTAGTGAGCAGCATATCTCTCCGATTTTAACAATGTCCCCTCTGACCACCAGACATGCTGTTTAGGGAGGTTTCTGTTTGGGGTTGTGGTTTTGCATTTTCACCATTTGGTTTTCTTGTATAGGCTTGCTGAAAATCTTTTCCCAGGTGTAAAAGCATAGGGTGCTAAATGACGTGGTCCTCTTCTCACACCCACGCGCTCACAAACATGAGCCAATCTTGTACTTTCATACGTTCACTGAATTCCTTTCTTTGACTCAACCAAGTGTAATAGCCCAGCAGGGCAATCACATACAGTACTGACAAACCTGCTCTAACACTACTTCCATCTGTCCATCCCTTCATCTCTATAGCATCCCCCCTGCCTGGTCTTACTGGTGTTTTGTTCCCCCTTTCCCACCTGCCTCTCTCTCCCCTGCTGTGCCGTGTCTCTCTCTGTGTCTGTCTGAGCCGTAGCTAGTATTCCTCTTTATGCTCTGCTGCAGTGCATGCTTCTTGTAAAAGGATAAGCACCATGCTGTGCTCTTTTGATATTATTTTTCCTCCTCGCCAGCTCCAGCCTTGTGAGGCCTCATCTCTTGTGTCATGGCTACTGCTACAACAACAAGGCCAAGCGTGCACCCAGGGAATAGACTGAGCCAGTTGTTCATCTCCATCACCTAGGGTTTAAACTCGTCCCCAGTAATAGAGAGGAGCTCACAACTGCTGTGAGATGGAAGTCATCCGTTCAGCTGCATGCTAAGAATACATTTACACCAGCTTCCTCGGGGTAGGGCGAAGTTGGAGATTAGATCAATCTTCGTTTCTTTTCTTTTCTTTTTTTTTTTTAGATGCGTCCAGAAACGTTATTTTGAATGTGATTTTTTCAGATAAAATGCTGGTAAGAGTGGTAAGGGAACAAATGGATGGTGATTACAGGTTGTGACGTGCCCTAACAAGCAGTATAGAAATGGCTTACAATTAATTTGTCCAGAATCTGCAGTCTGAATGGGGACGTGATTGACAAGAAGCCTAAGCCACTTTCTCTTCTTAATGCCCTGCACTCTGTAATGAAGGTCTTTTGACAAGCGAAAGCCATGAAATTAGGGTTTGCAAACATTCCCCAGGAGAAAAGATGTTGTGTAGAATATTTCTAATTTTCCAATCCAAGTACATGTGGGTGTGTGTACAGCTCAATACTGGATAGTTTTACTTTCTCATTTTGTTATTATTGGTCATTACCTATTATGAACCATTTCCTTAATTTTTTAGCATGTATTCAAGATTTTTTAATAAATGGGGAACAAAGAAAACACATTAACATATTTTTCTATGGCATTTCTAATGTTTTCTTACACAACCACACATTCAACACATATTCACACAAGCACAATACAATAACAGCAATACCATTTTCTCACAGAGATATTTTTCTGCACTGTTATGATGGACCCTTCCTTTGCTTTCACACTACTTTTCTTGATGCTCACTGACAGCCTCCTGAATCATAAACAGCAATCTCTTCAGCCGGTAGAAAGCCTCATATTGAACATATAATTTTACTGTATTTGTCTTGCGACAGGTGTATGTTCTTGTTCTTTGTCTTTTGTGAGAATGCTTCAGCATGAACAGTGGGGGCTCAGACATTTCTTGGAGTCATTATTCTGCAGATAGAGATGCAAACACAACAATAAACCCTCCTAAGGGGTCATGTCACAACGCTTTTCACTTAAAGTTTTTTTTTCCAGCAAGGAGTCCTGCTGTATCTCTCTCTTTGCAGAGTAGGCTGAATCACGGGGCACTGACCCCCCCCCCGTCTCTCTCCTGAGAGATCTTGGCCACTGAGCCCTTGTACTGATTACTCTCGTTACTTAATTATACATTTGGACCCACCGCACTTGCAACAAAGGGCCACTGTGGCTCCATTGACCCAGCTCCCTCCTCATTGTGCCCAGCTCTGAAAGAGAGTCAAACAAAATAAAGAGGGTCCACTTAAATATGTTGCCACAGGGACTTAATTGACAGATTGAAGGCAGTTTTTCACTGGGGGCCCTCTCCCTCTCTATGTGGCTCTTCGCTTGAATTGCTCTGCTCCTCATGCATCCTGCTGGGAGGTCCAGTGGGACTGGCCTGGAACTCGACCACTCCTGTTTCCACAACTTCACTATCCACTGTCTCGGGGGGGGGGGGGGCAAGATGGGACGTGTCAAGTAAAAGATAAAAAAAATCAAACAGGGTTATTGACTTCACACTAACTTCACACATTCTTTCAGACTACAGGTGAATATACATCCCAGTATGTGTTTGAGTCTAATCATATTTTTTATTATTTGCTAAAAAGAAATTTCTGTCTGAATGTGTGAGGAATGAAAGGCTCTGGCCCTCGGTATCTGCAGTATTCTCATCATCTGTTTGTCAGTTACAAGGTCTGACTTTTTTTTTGTGTTTTTCTTGTTTTTTAAAGTTGCGCCTCCTCTCAAAATATTTGAGCCTGATCACTGTGTATTTTAATGGTGAAATGACTTGTGAAATTTGAAGTGTTAAAGAAAAACCGTTTCACTTCTGAACTGAATAGAAGGTGATTTAGCCTTTGACCGTGCCAGACAAGGCATATTTCAGAATACAACCTCTCTTGTTATTTAGTTCCTTTATCCCCGTAGAAGTCTGACATACAAATTAAATACTGGTTTGTCACAAGGCGAATTTGAAATACCACATTTAATAGGCACTGTGTTCGAGTATTCAAAGAGCCTAAGCTCTCTGTGTCCTTGAGATACTATCATCCAATTTTAAAGCACACTTAAAAGGCTAAATGACAAGCCGCAGCTGAATACAGAGTCATTGAACAGGCTCTTCATAATAGAACCCAGTGTATAGTATTATTCGGTTTTTCATCTTTTGTAAATTTACAGCATTGAATTTACGACAGAAAGACCAGAATGGCATTCTGTGCGGCTGTGCTGCTTTTGAAACTTGAAAAACTCTCTTAGACTACCACTCTCTACTTTCCCTCTTCATCCTCCGCCATTTGCACTGAAAGCTGTCAGTGAATGAGAGGTTGCACACAAAAATAACATCTGCACTGATTATGAGCTACTGGAGGGAGCCAAATGAATAATTCCTAATATTTCCTGTGTCTGTCTCTTTTCTGTTACAGTGTGACAGCGAGAGTGACATTGACGACAAGGTAAGACTGTTTTTCTGTTTATTCACCCACCACATGAAGTGGCTGAGAGTTGTGAATAACAAATTTGAGCTCTCGACTAAAGGAGGGAGTCAGTCATAGTGTGTTGTTAGCAGAAAAAAAGACGAGGGGTAAAAGACCCTCTGCCGGTCCCACCACCGTTGATCATTTGCATCTTACACGGAAAGAAAGTGACAAGGAAAATGTGGTACAGGGAGAAGCTGTTTTATGGTGCTAGTTTTCTGTTTTGACATTATGGCATCTATTATTGTTGGAGCACGTTACGCCTGAATATGTCTCAAACATACCTTCTCACCTTGATCATAGCACAAGCTTTAGTTGTGTGTATTTAATCTTATCGCATGGCACAAGTCACCTCTGTCTGCTTGTTTCTCTCATATAATAGATAGCAATATCATAGCTCCAGTTTGTGCATCTTGTGTATTCATTACAGTTTAAGATTTGAGAGTTTTGCGACGCTGATGATGTTTCCGTCACAGAAATACATTCCTGCTTTTCTCAAAAAGAGAGCGATTTGTTTAACAAAGTGAATTAGACTGTGTTTCCAAACCCGGTTTAACAACCATAAGCTAATCAAAGATGGCACCCAGAAATCACAGCTGCTCACTTGTGCATTTTCCATTTTTGCCTAGCTGAAGTAACCAGGCATCACCTGAGCTTTTCTTTTCTCAAGATCATTTTTATTCAAGCGTGATGATATAAATTAAACACAAGGGTATACAGACATCTACATGAGTAGACAGATATGTACACAATCAGATGACATCATGCTTCATTTTCTTGAACATATGTATAAAAGAGAAAACACAAAACATATCATGACAACAAGAGAAGGAAAAACAAACCGAGACAAATAACCCACATCCCACCCCCCCACCTATCCCACCCAGCTCATTGTTAGCTCATTGAAATACTGAAGCTTGTCCAAAAGGGTGTACCTTATTCTTTCTAAATGAAGTGCATTTGTGAGGTCACTAAACTACATCTTAATATTAGGGACCTCTTTTTTTTCCAGTGCAAAAGAAGCAACTTTCTTTGCAATAATGAGGTTGTGAGATAGGAAACACTGTTGCATATTGCTTAATTTATTTAGGTCATCAGATATACCTAGGATGATCACCCCAAGGGGTTTTGGTTCTAACCTGAGGTTTTCTTTGAAAGTATTTATTAGTTTTACTGGCAGTGACTAAATGTAAGTGTGTTGTCAGTGGACAACTGTAGGTTGCACCAGCAACTTGGCGCGCTTCAAAAAGCATAACACTGGTTTCAGAGTGATGTCATCAAGTGTTAACAGTTTGACAGTTTGACAGATGTAGTTTCACGTCTGCGTGTTTGTTTATCACAGACTTGGAGGTGGTTGGCTGATGGCAGCCACCTGGTTACAAGATGAAACGCCTTTGGGGAACCTCACGCATCCTAATTCCTCCACAGTTTAGCAATTACTCCCTGGTAAATGAATGAGATAGCATGCCTAATCTCCTGTAAGCTTAGCTCCCAGTTCTGTGGAAATGTCTGCAGCTCTCCCTATAAATAATACATTGATAGCAGGCCCAATTTGCATTAACTGTAGCCTGGCAAGTCAATAGGCTTTTATCTCTTCATTGAAGCGAGAAGAAACCGAGGGCGCTAGCTAGTTGACACGACAGAGAGACGTAGCAGGCCTGTCAGTCTCCATACGGCTCCCTGGTATCACTGTGGGGGGTAGAGAGGGAAGTAGGGAAGCTCTTCGAGTGTTTCCTTTTCAGGGCTTTGTTTTCCCTCCTGGTTTATCAGTTGCTTGAGACTTGTAACAGTTCTATATAGTGTCACACATTTTGACATTTAATATCTAAAAGCTTGATACTACAATACTAAACAGCACTAGTAAAAGAAACATGAGAAACAAAACAAGCAATGCTTTGGTGGTTTTGTAGAAATTCAGCGGCGTTGCTATGTTGTTGGTAAGCTGTCAGCCTCTGTCTGTTCAGTAAAACAGCTCCATATTTGGCGTTTGGCAGCAGTTATATTAGGCAGTTTAGGTGGACTGGGATACAGTTCAAGACATGGTGGACTATTAGACACTGCTGCCAAGTTTTCAGCTGTTTGTTGAATTTTGTACCAATTGTTACACAGTCCACTGTCAAGAGCCAAATGTCTGTTCAGCCCTGTCTCTTCTCATGTGTGTGTGTGAGTTTCAGCTAGTGAAACACAATCTGTGTTCTGAGTTAATGCAGAATGCAATGTATGAAACATACTAAGGTCATGTTACTAATGTCACTTTTATTACACATTAATATGCACTGACACTGTGATAAAACCTACTCAGTGGACTGTAAGTGAACTATTTATTATTCTGTAGACATGATATCTAAACCGTTAATGTGAATCCCAAACCATAGGCAACAAAATAATACTGCAAATGAAAAACGTAGTTACTAACAAGAATGCTGTAACCAAGGCTGCAGTAATGTAATCTGTGTCCTTGGCTTCAGTGTGTAAAACTACTGATTTTCACTCTTAGATCCTTTACCTGCTTTTTCATGTCTCCTCAAGCTTTGCTCTCAGTTCTTAGTTTCCATTCTCAGTTCTAAGGTTCTGAAGCTTGGTCTTGAACTTGTTGTTTTTTGTGGATGGTGGGGCCTGGGGCTAAAAGGTCGCTTAAGAAGTAATGATAATGAATGAATGAATACAGATGTCTCAGACAAGCCATCAGCAGGATCTGTTTTCGTAATATGTGTAATACTATTAACGGAGAGAAGAAATATATCCCCAAATATTCCTGCTAACATGCTGCTATCCTTGAATCAGTATGTGGCAGTGTGGCAATATGTAGCAGTAACACTGGAACACAAGGACCTCAATGCATGCATGGACATTGAGTGTAAAATCAGAGCAGACTTCAACTCCTTTAAAGCTACATGATGAAATATTATATGAAAGGAACCAAAGAGGCAAATATGTATGACATTCCTTTCAAAACAACATCATTACATAGAGCCAGAAACTGTGCCACACTTCACATAGCAACCCATCAACAAACAGCCCATTTGACAGCATATTAGTGAAGTAAGAATAGATGCCCAAAGGTAAGTATTAATATTTTCCATTGTTATAATGATGGTAGTGCTCCATTCCCCGGAGCAGAGATACTGAACAAAGAAAAGCTTTCATTTGTGGCCAACAGGAAACGGGACTGTGCGACAGCCTAATTCCAAAACAAGTTTCACTGTTGTGGAATCTTTGAAAATACACTGTTACACATACTGGTGTATTTGCCAAGAGTGCAAGAAGAAAAGAACATCTGGATAAAGGCTAGAGCAGCGCTGACCTTTTCATTTCCTCAGAAACACACATTATCATAATCAAGGTGATGAGAGTTGCGAATCATCCATATCAAATTGCCTAGAAAAGAAGAACACTGGGGAAAAATACTCTGACAGGCCATCACCATAAGTAGAAAAAAAGAGATGGTGTAAAAATTGGGTTCCATGAGGAGGAAGACAAACACTGTCATTTGTAATTGGCTGCACTCAGGATAACTCGACAGCGATAATTTTCTGCAACGTTTTGCTGAAACAGGTGCCAGCTCCTCCCGTATCTTTCCAATGAAAACAAAGGCTCCTTTCACATCAGATTACCAGCCACCTGAACACCCACATTGTCAGGATTTCACAGATTAACTTAATTAGAATATTGCTTCCAGGTGTGCCCCCGGGGTGCAATCAGTTACACTGTATTTGAATAAAACTGACGAGATGCTGCTAGAGCAAAGTCAGTTTGGATTGGTGTACCTTGTGAAGCTAGCTTGCATCAAAGCAATGCTTGAGATAGCATGCGGTAATGTGTTTCCAGAACATGTCAGACTTGAATTCTTCGGAGACTGCCGGGTCACCCCCAGTTCAGCGTGAGGCTGCTATGAGGGGGTATTTTTATGTAGATTGGCGCAGCCTTGAAGAAACAAGCAATCAGAATCTGGGTACTGTGTTCTCATCACTGGCATTTCTTCTTGGGAGGCCTGTCGTCTGGTGTCCAAGATTACATGAAGAATTAAAAAAAATAAATAAAAAATCAGACCCTCGACCTTGCCTTGCTTATATCTGCACCCTGGAGGAATAATTAAGGATTCCTTCTGGAAAAGAATGTTTTCTTTGTCTTTTCTGTTATTAAAGCTACACTTGGTGTATTTGTTAGCCATGCTAAATTAGATGGTCAAGAAGGGACTAATCACATGTTGGATAAATCGCCTGGCAATACAAAGACTATGTGTATTCAAGTCTCTTTGAGGCCATGCTATGGAACTAGGAACACCATTTATTCTTTAGTGGTGATTGAAATACTTTGAGCCACTTCATGTGTCTGTGTTACTGTCAGTTGATTAAAATGTACTTAAAAGCCCCAGTACACGTTAGCTGTGCTTCACAAACATGAATGGTTCTGCTTGTGTAGTGGTAACATCTGTGATAAGGCGTCACACGGACAGTGTTTGAACTATATATGAATGAGATGTGTTATTTCACATACGCTTGGATATTTTTATTTGGCTTGTGACCAATGTCAGTTTAATGGTTTAACTTTCACTTGACATTAAACTGTTTGAACTTGCTTTGTTTGTACATTCAGTTTCATAGCACTAGGTATTATTCAGTGTCTTTTCAACTACTATAAATGTCGAGAATCAGTTCCCACCCCTCCCTGTTCCTCGTGCAATCTATCAACCAGCCAATCCTGTCAACCTATGACATGTCTGAGATACTCCAAGTCAAGACGGTCATTTTCTTTCATTGGAGAGGCAGTGAAATACATAGAGTGGGATTTATCCCTTTTCAGTTTGTTCATGCACTCTCCTGAAGTGTCATCCTATCTCCATTAGGCCCCACTTTGCCATCCTCGCTGGCTCCTCCAATTTCCTCTGTATTCTTTCTCCTGTGCAAATAATACAGTCACTGTCTGTCTGTCTGCAAAACGTTAGCCTGAGCCGTTTATGTTCTCTGGAGCCCTTAACG